GAGACAGGCACAAAGGTGCAAGGATGGGCAAAGCGCCCACCTCATAGCGCAACAACACAAGCAGGCTAAGTTTGCGATATAACATAACCAACAAGGCAAGTGACAAACATAGTCATGAGTCAGAACAAAGACTAAAGATGAACGCATGGAAGCATAACCCGGTTCAAACAAAAAGATAAGAGACTACGGGCAGGCGCCCCAACCACACATCGTCTCCACGACATAAATAAACAAAGGCAACAACTATGCCGTAGGCTCATTCTCAGAGCCCGAGGCAGAGCCTTCGCTGCCATCATCATCGTCGTCGTCACCATCTTCACCATCGTCTTCCTCACCCTCAGGCGCCGGGTCGACCACTGGGCGCCCACTTTCCATGAAATTAATTACGAAGTCTACCATAGACTTAACGTCCCACTCAACGTCGGGATGTTCGGCTGCTAGCTTCCTCCGGAGAATCAAGATGCTGTTTAAGGCGGCCTCAGCCTTAAGCGCCTGTCCCGCTTGAGACGTGGCGAACTCTGATGGTTGAGTCTCGAGCGCCTCTTTCTCTGACTGAAGCGCCTGTTTTTCTTCCTCAAGCCTCCTTATTGCCGACACCGACTTCTTATTCTCCTTTGCCAAGCGCTTATTCTCCTTCGCCAAATCACCCTTCTCTTGTGTTAAGAGATCAATCTCGCTTCTATAGGCGCCTGCTTCATTCTCCAAAGTCTTCTTCTAGTGCTCCAACTTCGCCACCAATTCACTATGCGCCTTCTTTTCGATCTCAATCCGTGCTTCACATTCCTCTTCTAACTTCCTCTTCTCAGCATCAACCATCTGTTGAACGAGAGAGGCGCTCTTGGCCGCTTCAAGCTGTGCATCTTCGCACATCTTTACCAGCTCTGCTTGGCGCCTTTGAGCCGTGGCAAGGTCGTCTTTGGCCACGCCAACGGATATAGCGGCCTCGTTGGTAGAGGCGCGTAGAGCTTCCCGCTCCAGTATGCCTCTTTTTGCCACGACCATCATCTACAAAAATACGCACGGATCACAGTTTTGTATCAGTGAGAAAGTAAAACGCACATCGAGTCAAACAAAGAAAATGCTTACATGAGCGCTTATTCGACACATTTCGCCCCATGGATCGGCACCATCTAGGCCGCTGGGCGCCCTGAGCACGTCACCGGCTTGCAGAGCCATGTGAATGGCAGCGCCACGCTCCAAGGCAGACCTATCCGAACATTCCAAAGTCACCTTGTGCTTTGGAGGTTGGAGCCATTTTGCCACGGACTCAGGAATTGGCACATCTTCATCCACCCGCGCCTTCTTGGCCAACTCAACCTGGGCGCCCTCGGCCTTCCTCTTCATCTTTGTTATTAGAGGAATCTCATCTTCCACGTCTTCGGCAAGGTCAATGGGCGCGACCGGTTTTGGAGGTAAGGTGGTTTCAGGCGCCTGGTCCTCCCTCACGTCGGTGAAGTCAGTCACTTCGTCGACAATGGGGGCGCTGGGTATTGGCTCGGGCTAAATCCTCTTAGGCGATGTTCCTTTCCGGCCCGAACGCCCCTTTCGTGCCTTTGATCCACCGGCAGCACCCTGATCCACCTTAGTGGCATTCCCTTTTGAGGTCTGGGCGCCCTTCGATCGGCCCTTTCTTGAGCTAGGCGCCCGTTTGGCTGCCAACCCCATCTTCGCAAACTGGCTCTTCATAAGGGTGGTCACGGATGTAAAGTCAGCACCTGCACGCAAACACACAACAAAATAAGGATCAGTAAGAAGAGAGAGTAAGGAACATAGGCGCCTAACTACACACAAACATAGGCGCCCACCATCATTATAGTACTCGTGGAGTACAGGCGTCCTAGCGGCCGTAGAACTTAAATCCACGGGATGTAAGGATAAGAGGCGGGCGCCTTCAATCTCCTCGTCCGTGGTCAAGGGCGCCTCAATGTTAAACGCCTCCACATCACCAAGCGCCCAGCCGCGAGTAAATGACGCTCCACTTTCATAAAAGGACGCCTTACATGGTTTAATGAAGAAAAACGACCCGAACCACTCCCTTCCTAACTTAGGAGAATCTATTAGGAAATGACCTGAAATGTCTGTGCGCCTTTGCAACGATAGACAGTTATTGCTATGCACCATAGTGAAGAAGTGGTGGAAAAGCCTCAAAGTGGGCGTGACGTTGTGCTGCCGACACTTTAGCTTGAAAAGAACATGAATGAGAAAAACGGAAGGGGACAGGCGCCCAAGTGAACACTGACAGAGTTTTAGGATGCCTTCGAGAATTGAATCTAAAGGAAATCGCAAACCGAATCTGAAGTATTCCCGGTACATTCCAAGCCAACGAGGACCAACTACCCCAATTCGGGCTACGGGGGGAGCAGGCGCATAAGACCAGACGCGTGGCAAATTCAGTGAGACGACCAAATTCTCCAACTGAAGCGCCCTGATGGTGGACACGTGTAGTGGCCCAGCCTCCGCCAGAGTCATGTGATCAGTCTCGAGGGGCGCTTCCCCCGATGGCCACGTATCCGCCCAATTTTTTATCTTCACTGGCCCAGCCTCCAGGGCGCCTGAGCCAGTCGATGGGGGGGTCACCTCCAACTCACCCGTTGGCGATGATCCAGGCGCTTGGCCTATAAGGGTGACGTAAACGGGGCAGGGTCAATTACACTAACCTAGTCAACTAAGGCAAAAAAAAAAAAAAAACGAGTTCTCTAGTCAAGAAAACTCACTTGTACCAGCCGTTTTAGGCGCCGCGGCAGCCGAGCCGCTTGTCTCAACCTCTGGCTCATGAGGGCTGTTGCGCGCCTCCTTGGAAGAAGAACCGGCCTTAGCGGACGCCTCGGCGGCCAAACCACCTGTCTTGCCCACGGGCCCGTGAGTGCTTTTCCGCGCCTCCCGAGAAGAGGGGCGATCCTTAATGGGCGCCTCCTTGCCGCCGCCGGGGGTCCATCCACCCGATTGTCGGTTGGGATCGGGGGAGAAGTACCCCTCCAGCACCTTAATCACATCCGGCTCAGGGGGTTGTGGGAGGCGCATTGCCAGAAGAGGCGCCCAGATCAGGAGGATTAGACATGTCGATCGTCGAAAGCAATTGGGGAAGAGGCGCACGGCGCGACGGGTAGAGAGAGAAGTATAGAGAGAGAGAGTGAGGTGAAGCGAATGAAGAAAGGGGGGGAGGCGAACCTTATTTATAGGAGGCGGAATCCCAATGGTCAGATATAGGGATGCGTGCCATTAATTCCCATTCATCCACACCGTCCGTTCAAATTTCAAATCCCCAATTTGAATTTCCAAAAATACACGAAATTCAAATTTGAAATTTGAATGTTGGAAGCGCACGACGAGGGGGCAAGGGTAGGCGCCCGGCAAGGGTAGGCGCCGGTACGGGCGATAAGGATCCCATAGGCGCCCCGATGTCGAGAATGGCATAAGAATAAACCCAATATGGGGCGACCAAATTTGTTCCCATGGGCGCATACATGGTAAAGGGATGGGCTATGGTGGAGACAGAGCCCAAATTTGGTCCAATAGGCGCATTGATGACAAAAGTGGCAGAGGGTTAGGAACGTTTTTGGGGCTGAATCCTTAAATTCGGACAGAAAGACGTGTTACTCAAGTTGGGAGTTCGAAACTCGATCGATAGGTAGGAATAGGCGCCCCGGCAAGGAGGGATCATGCGTCAGGAGTAGTTAGGCGCTCACCAGCAACAATGAGCACCTAACTGGGGGACAATTGTTGGGTATAGGCACATGGACCAAATCAGTGGGGGACATGAGCCCAGAAGGTATAGTTGGGCTCAAGCCCAATTAGGAGCATGAATGAGCACCAGGACTGGAGGAAGGCCCAGCTGACAAGGAGCGGGCGCATAACGACAAAAGTAGATGCGGGGACCATGCGGCCTAGGAGTTAGGAAGGGAAGGAGGTGCCACCTGGAAATGTGGTCCTGCCGGGCGCCTAGGCGCCGAGGTCCAGGAGCTGCCACCTGTAGATATCCGACCGTTGGACTGACCGAGCATTTAATGACGCGCTGACATGGAGCATGATTCCAGGAGCCTGGTCGGAACCTCAACGAGTATAAATAGTACTCGGTATGTAGCATTTACGCAGGTTGGCTTCTCACACTAAAACTCGATTAAACACTTCTCTCTCTAAGATTTGGCACTGACTTGAGCGTTGGAGTGCTAACGGGCATCCCGAAGCCCTTTAGGCGCTGGTTCTTGCAGGGTCCGGGCGCCCTGAAGGAGTACGACGGTGGAAGGTCGACTGAGTTCGGTCCGGAGAGCACTTGGCTTCAACAAGAACTATGTATGCTGTCAAATGCAAAGTTGTGAAGGTTAAGAATGGATGGTGCTATCTAGATGCGAAACCTGTCCACAAACGCTCGAAGAAGACTCCCACGGGGCACTTTTGTGAGAATTGTACAAAGATATTAAAAACGACAACATCAAGGTAATCTAACCATTATTAACATGAAATTTGATTTGCAAATATGTGGGGTCCACGGATTTTGGAGAAAAAAAAAGTATATGAGCCTCTTCAAACAGGACTTATTGCTATTGATTCGATGATCCCTATAGGACGTGGTCAGCGAGAATTAATTATTGGGGATAGACAGACCGGTAAAACTGCGGTGGCCACATAATTAATTTTGGAGCAAAAAAAAGTCCAAATTCGTGGCCCTACGAATTTGTAAACGTCAACAAATAATATTTTTTTTTATCAAATACATAATGCTTGATATTTGAATGCCAAATACAACACTCAAATCTCACAAACAAGGACTTCTTATAGAGAGGTGACAAGAATTTTTGGATTATATATTTCAAAGTTCATCAGAAAATTCATTAAAATATATAATATGATGACCACTAATTTGATGAACCAAAATTTCAGTGACCATATTTAAAGTTTAGTAGACCCAAATTCAAAACAAATGGCAACACAATCAAATACAAAGGAAAAATAACAACAGAAAAAGGCAATTACGTTATAAGAGCGGCAGAGACAAGGAACTTAAAAAAAAGAAAACAAAGAAAAGCCGCGATAAGCCCTAGAGTAGTCAGTAGAGAGGTGAAATAAAAACGTAAAATCTACGAAGCGCAAAGAAAAAGGGAAGACAAAGACGAGAAAAGAAGCAGCAGTAGTAGAGAGAATGGGGTGGATCGGTGATACCGTTGATTCCATCAAGTCCATCCAGGTCCGCCAGCTCCTTACGCAGGGCGTTAGTCTTGGTAAATCTTGCTCACCTCGACTTCAATTTACTTTTGTGATCTCCCTCCGCAGTTTGTGATTTTGACTGCCTAATTGCCCAATTGCATGCGGGGGAATGGAAGACAATTTGTTTGAATTACATGGATTCTCCATTCTACTTTTAATTGAATTTTGGGTTTGGAAGCCTTGATCCAAATATTGTATCGCTGTATTGTGGTTTCGGAGAATGCAAGGCTGGGGTTCTCGTCTGGATGAGAATTTACCGAATAATGGCTGTAAGATTGGAAATTTATGTTTTTTGTTGAATTGGGTTTCTTCCCTTCTTTCTCACGGTATGTTGGATGATCCTTGACAGTTTTACTAAATGCATATGTGACCAAGAGTATTGAGACTGTGGTTTAGCTTTTGAAGCAGGGGGAGCAAGTGTTAGATCGTTCTGGTTTTAGAATTGTGTCATACTGTAGAGCAGCAAACTCCTGGGAAATGCCCAAACTAATGTCAGCCTCACTTTCCTTGACCTTACCTGTAACATGCGAATGTTTACCATTTGATTTTAGGCTGTAGCTTCTGAAAAGCTAAGTAGAGTATGGCCAGGTGTGTCCCTGAAAAGCTATGTGTGGTCCTTGCAGGAACTTATATCCTGCATTAGTATGGCATTGCATAGATGCTTAAGTATGCGAGACTCATTTCATCACTGCTTGACTTTGCTCCATTCATTGTTTCTTACTGGTTCTGTATCGATTTGTATGCTGAAAGCATGTGAGACTACACTTTTATTTTACAAGTGAGTACAGTTACGTTGAAACCAAAGATCAGTACCTGTACCTGAGTTGAATTTCATGGATTTCAGAGACTATGGATCTTAAGATGCATCTTTCACCTATTACCTTAGTCATTGCTCATTTTGTTTCCATGAGATTGTGTTTTTTTACTTGCTAACTTCTCATCTTATTTACAGGTATGATTGTTACCTCTGCGCTAATAATATGGAAAGCATTAATGTGCTTCACTGGCAGCGAATCTCCAGTGGTGGTTGTGCTTTCTGGAAGTATGGAACCAGGATTCAAAAGGGTATGCAATTTTTTTACTGATCTGACTGTACCTGAATGTTTCACTGATATGTTTCTATTTGCAGTTACCATGGAAAAGCCTTCTTTAGAAATTATATTATGTTCCTTCAATGTGATAGTATCCCTCTAACACTATGATGCTCCAAAGAAAATTATTCTTTGTTATATTTTAAACAAGAAATTCCTTGTCTTTCCTTTGAGTGCCAGCAATATTCACTCAACAGAAATCCAATTGGAATGACCAGCTAAGCACCTATTTTGAGGAGTCGAGTTTGTTGTTTATGTCTCTAGGTACAACTTTGTAGGTCTGCATATTCTTGTGTCCGGAATCTGTAAGTAAAATCTGGTACGGGAAGAATGATTACTTACCATAATGCAACCTGGTAACCAGTTTGGTCTTGGTACAGCCAAGGGTGAATATTAGGATAGGAGTTACCTGTTTTGGGACCGCTGATGGTAAAATGACTATTTTTCTTCTTCCGAAATAGATCTTGCCAATTACTTCCTTAGTCATCAGTGTCAACTTCTTGAGAAGGTAGCTTCTGTTTAGAGAATGATTGAGGCAATATTACTATATGGATGATGTCTGTTGGAAGTAGGCAAACCTTAAAATGTTTCGGTATCTTGAGAAGGTTAATTGAACTAAACAGATTTGAAGAAGTGTTTTCTTTTGGATGGAATTTTCCCTGACCAATGTGTAATGTGTTTATACTTATAGATTATCTAATGCTAGCATAACTAGTGTGGTTGCTGTTCATGCTTACATGACTTGTGTTAGTATTTTTTGTTATTGCACTTGTTGTAGCTGATACTTAAATACAACAAGGGGTTTTAGTGACAATTGCAATTGAGACGAGAAAATGATGTTTGGAACTCTAAAGTTTGTTTCTCAATAAAATTGAAAAGATTAAATTCTTCTTCCCACTAAGTGTCCAGATCACCTTTCACATGATTTACCCCACTCACTGCTTTATGTATAACAGCACGTTATTGTGCTTATTGAAAATCCTTTGACAATTTGAGTTTCTTTTCAGGGTGATATTTTGTTTCTGCACATGAGCAACGATCCTATCCGTACCGGCGAGATAGTTGTCTTCAATGTTGATGTAAGATCCTCTTAACTGTTACTGCATCTAAAGGATGTGTACTTATCTTACAATTGGCAGCAATGCATGATGGCAAGAGACTGAAAAATGTTCGTCTTGCTGAAATCTTCATTAGCTGATTAATGGAAAGGAATATAGTGAATATAAAACCCGAGCATTTAGGTACATTGTATTTAATTGGAAGAAAATTATCCTTTTGAGTTATTGGCTCATTGAATTAATTTTCTCAATGCATGTTTTTATCTTAGTGAGTTCCTCGTTTTCTTGATCCCAGAGCCTAGTGGAATACTCATATGCCAACATGCTTTTCGAAATCAGCCCTTTTATTTTCAGCCCGAGGACAATCTAAATCATCTTTTCTGCATATCTGTCCTTGAGCATAACCAAATGAAGTTGCTTTGACTGCAAAAAAATGAAAGAAGTTATCACTTTGGTTCTATAGAATTGTTTGAGGGACTTATTGTCTATTTATCTCAGCAGCCACTTTGAGCCTATTGGTTCCGCTATGAATGCACTTTTAGCCTGTTTTTTATAATATATGCGACTAACTTGTGCTTTTGGATTATTGTCTAGGGCAGGGAAATTCCGATAGTCCACCGTGTGATTAAGGTATAAATTCATTTCACAATATCAGTGGGAATTCCATTTGTACTTGCTCTGTAAAGCTGTTTTCAGTTCATTGTAGGAGTGATTGTAGTAATACCAGAAGTTTGTTTGATCAGTACCAGTTGGTATCTACTCGTTATGCAGGTTCATGAAAGACAAGAAACTGAGGAAGTTGAAGTTTTGACCAAAGGTGCTGCTATTATTATTATTTTGTTTACTGGGATTACTTCAGAGTATAGGACTTCATGCATTTCAAATGATGTAATCGGTGGGTTTCAGTAACTAACAGTACATCCGCTGCTGCAGGTGACAATAATTATGGGGATGATAGGCTTTTGTACGCTCAAGGTCAGCTATGGCTGCAGCGGCATCATATAATGGGCAGGGCGGTCGGGTAAGTGCTTAGTAGAAAACTCGGAACCCAAAATTTATGAGAACTAAATTGATCTGTGCACGCCTATTTATAATTTGATTCCTGCCTGTTGACTTGAATATGATTACAAATGTTGATCTCTTTGTATGGACTATTATATCTGTTTGAGTTTCGGTTACCGGAAATCTGGCTGATGGATCATAACTTGGAACTGAGACAAACTTCGAACGTGGTGTTTGGTTGCAGATTCTTACCGTATGTTGGTTGGGTGACAATCATCATGACTGAGAAGCCTATTATCAAGGTTTTTCTGCTTTTGTTAATGGTCCCTCTCTCTCGTTACTGTTGATGATGAAAATTAGACTAATGTCATTTCTTTGTTGTTGTTGTTGGACAGTATATACTTATTGGTGCATTGGGGCTGCTGGTCATAACTTCTAAAGATTGAGGGAAGGCATGAGATGTAGGGAGTCTTTACAAGTGTAGAAACCCCCCGGACCATCGGGGATTGCAGGAGAGGAGAGAGATAGAACAGAGTTGAATTTGAGAACTCAGAAACTGTGGCCTTTTGTTTTGTTTCACATGAATTAATGAATTTGAAGACTAGAATGAAATGGAGAGAAATGAGTGGAAATAGCCACTCTTTCTATACCCTATGTGATGGTAGCAAGTTTAGCTTGCTTTTGCTGTGCTGTTGAGGACAGTAGCCTAGAGGGTGTGCTGGGTATCGTTGAATGGAGTGATGACAATTTCTCACCTGATCCGATCTGACCCGTATGGGGCTGGTATCGAGTATCCAACATGTTTGGCGGGTATTACCAGATCCGCCCTGCCCTACCGCACCCCATTGCCATTACTATGAAGTGAGTTTAGAAGTAGAATGATATTCGAACTGGCGGTTTGGTGCCTGGAAACCTGACTTGTTAGCCAATTAAGAAAATTTTATAACGTTTGTTTACAATGATGAGAAGATGTAGCCAATGGTGTTTCAATTAAGTACAATTTAGTACTGTGATTACCTCGAAATAAGAATTTGGTGTCAATCTAACACATCTAAGGAGTTTGATGATCAAATTGATACTTACCCCATGTTTCGGCCAAAATAATTAAGATTTTTTTTTTCTGAGATGCCGACCATAAAACTAAATAATTCTGAAAATACCACCATTTTCGAAATAATTCCATTCATACCACCATTAGATGTAAACCACAGGGGGGCCGCGGTTTAAACACAGACAACCGAAGGGTCACGATTTGCGTTTTTTCCGCCCACTGACCACGGGTAGGAGTGGCGGTCAGACAGACCGTCGGATCCCCATACGATTTGACGTCGATCGCCAGCCAACTCAGCAATCCGCGTAACTGTGCCTTCGATCCGCGTCATCTTCGTAGAAACCACGCCTCCTAGCCACGGTTTCTGTTAGAAAATCGAAAACCGCCCCCCGCTCCCACGATTTTTAATTTTTGTTCCCGCCCAAACCGCCTCCACCCCACAGTTTGTGGCTATAAAACCCCCATCTCCTCTCCGTTTTCGTCACACCAAACAACCCTTCTCTCTCTCTCTCTAAGATTTTCTCTCAACCCATCCACCTCTCCACCCAAAACTTAAGAAATTGTAGTATGTTGGTTGCGGCTAAGTCCGAACTACAATAAAAAAAACATTTCTTAGTTTTTTCCTCCAAAAACATCGAACCTCTGTCCGCCTTCCACTAAAAATGGATCAAGATTGATACCATCAAGAGGGTGTTTATTATGATGACTATCAAGCGGTACTTACTCATTCTACTCTTTTTTTTTCCTTATAATTTTTGTTAAATAATCTATATAATAATAATAAATTTATTTTTGTTATTGTTATGTTATCGTAGGTTGGGCTGGACGTAGATTTTATGATCAAATGTATTATCTTGACTAATGACCTCATGATGCAAGTGTTATGTACGACCAAACTAACCATCGTTCAAGGGATGTTTGGAACGATTTGCAGGTATATATAATTATTCAACTTTTGTCATATTTTATTTTGTTAACATACTTAGTGGTTTATAAAATAATTTTTTTAATGATGAATCGTATTGATTATTTTCAATAATTTTGGGAAATACAATGTGATACTTACTTAGACTCTTTATAAAAAGATGCATATCTAAAGAAATGGGATCTTAAGCGATCATCATGATCCTCCAATTTCCTCTGAAAATCGGGTCTTAAGTGATCCTCGAATCCCCCCCTTTTTTGTCAAAAGACTGTGTTTCTAAGGAGATGTATACCTCTCCTAAGAGTATAACGAGTGTACTTGTATTGGCTTAAATCTTTGAAATCAACCAATACGATTTACAAAATAGTATAATGGATTTATGATTATGTTTATGTGTATATCTTTCAAAAAATCTATCGTATTCATTTTGTTAATTTTAATTATTTGGTATCATTGATTTATGTGTATATCTTTCAAATGCTATTACCGGCCATGCCATGAGCAGATGTCTCGAGCCTCGTGCGGGGAAAAGAAATGTAAGGGGGCTGGAGGTAGTAGGTGGAAATTGGGAACGGATCCCTGTCTCCCCTTACACACTTTCGCACTTTTCGCACAGGAGACGTTATTTTAAAGCACATTTTCGAGCACCTTTTACTTCAAAACATGATACAGGAGTCCATGACAGGTAGAGAGTCCACAATACCACACAATTCAAGGGTCCTAAGATCACTAATTCACATAATCAACCAACACAATATGAAGAAGAAAAGAGACTTCTTAAATGCATCAACATCCTCCGTAGTGCTACACTACCTCCATAGGTTGCATATTACTATAAAGACTGTCAATTCATAGCATACTGAGCAGGCAATTGCAGGGAACACGTGCTTGGAGCCCTCAAATCAAAATTTGGACAGTGGACTAGGCTACAAGCACACACATACAACCAAACATTCACAAGCATACATAATCGAACATCCCCCCACACTTAAGCACAACATTGTCCTCAATGGAGGAAAGATAAGGAGGGTAGAACGAAGTTACCAGATAAAGTGTGAATGATGGTGAACGGGGCAGGCGGTGCATTCCAGGAGGAGAGAGTAGTCGGAACACAAACACCACACAAAATCTCACAAAGGTTGAGTTATTGACTCTAAAATCAAAGAACAAAACTGACTCAACCGAAGAGAAATAGGGAAAGAAATGCAAACCAACTGGTTGGGTTGCCTCCCAGCAAGCGCTTTTTTCACGTCATGAGCCAGACGGTAGCTCCTAAATTTCGGTCCATGCTAGAACCTCTTTGAAGTTGAGGTTCTCATCTATGAGGTGGAGTCTCAAGTCATGAGCAGGTGGTGTGGCAGGTGATGAAGGCTCGTGAACTTGATGCAGTTGAAGTCTCCACCCTCGAGACATCTTCTTCGTTTCTTCTCTTGTCTCATTGCCCCAAACCAAATATAACCGTATCGACTGACCACCATCGCGTCCACCAAGAGGGATCGATGTCGATGTGGCCTTAGTCTGGCAAAGAGACACTGCAAATAGGTTCGTGCTAATCAGTTCCTCGAAGTTTGGTGAGGATATTACTTGTATTATAGGGCCGGTGCAAGCCTCTTTCACCTCAATTTCATCCTCAACCTGGACACCACTCGCTTCTTCAACCCCCCTTCCTTCTTCAAAATGTGGTCTCTCTCCTTGGAAAAGATCAAGAACTACCTCTTCTTTGCTTTCTTCCTCATCCTCCACAACTTCTTTCCTCACCCTTTCTCTCTCTTCTTCTTCCACAACGGATTGGAGAGCAAGTCGCCATGCAAGGTTCTCAATAAGTTTAGCTTGCATCTCCTTGCTCGGGCCCAGCATGTCAGCGCGGAAATGGGGAAAGTTGTGACCTACCACCAGAGGATACACTTGATCATGATTATCATGGGAGCTTTCCATGACAACTTCTGTATGCTCCTCAACATCCTCATGATTGCCTTCTTCCTCCACCTCTACTTGTATGGCAGTATAAAGGTTGTCTTGAGAAAACTGTGAACAAGCTTTCTCAATGACCTCTATGCGCTTCTTTATGCTCCGAAGGGTATCATATGTTTCACGGGGAAAGGTGAAGTCAGTTTGGGCAATGTCCTGGATATGAGGATCCATCTCGGGCAAGGATCTCTCAGGTACTCGAGCAATCTGCTCCACGAGAAGCCTCAAGTGATAGTTTGGATCTAGCTGTGGAGTGTAGCATGGCTCTGCCGGATGGCCCGTCAAGACTGCCATGGCTAACTCCAGCTCCGATGGCCCTTCCGGTTTTGGGAGAAATTCTTCTTGATAAGGAGGTTGTTCTTGATATGCCCAGGGATCTAATTGTTCTCCGTAGTAAGGGGGTTGGTAATGGAACCCAAATCCATAGTCTTCTCCTCCTTGATTTCTCGGGGTAATACCACTCAGATGGTGGTGGTGGATACCTCCTTGATTGCTCCACAACTTCTTTCCTCACCCTTTCTCTCTCTTCTTCTTCCATAACGGATTGGAGAGCAAGTCGCCATGCAAGGTTCTCAATAAGTTTAGCTTGCATCTCCTCGCTCGGGCCTAGCATGTTAGAGCGAAAATGGGGAAAGTTGTGATCTACCACCAGAGGATACACTTGATCATGATTATCATGGGAGCTTTCCGTGACAACTTCTGTATGCTCCTCAACATCCTCATGATTGCCTTCTTCCTCCACCTCTACTTGTATGGCATCATAAATGTTGTCTTGAGAAAACTGTGAACAAGCTTTCTCAATGACCTCTATGTGCTTCTTTATGCTCCTAAGGGTATCCTCTGTTTCACGGGGAAAGGAGAAGTCAGTTTGGGCAATGGCCTGGATATGAGGATCCATCTCGGGCAAGGATCTCTCAGGTACTCGAGCAATCTACTCCACGAGAAGCCTCAAGTGATAGTTTGGATCTGGCTGTGGAGTGTAGCATGGCTCTGCCGGATGGCCCGTGAAGGCTGCCATGGCTAACTCCAGCTCCGATGGCCCGTCTGGTTGTAGGAGAAATTCTTCTTGATAAGGAGGTTGTTCTTGATATGCCCAGGGATCTGATTGTTCTCCTCCTTGATTGCTCCAGGAAGTCTCGGGGTAATACCACTCATATGGTGATGGATACCCCCACTGGTTGGAGAAGCCATTAGAATCCATGATTCAGATCTACACCAACAAAAACAAAAACACCCAAGTGAAAAGCAAGGGTGGAAAAAAACGCTAAAGTAACAAACTTCTGCATTTCCTAACAATCTAGAAAGTCCCCGACAATGGCGCCAAAAACTTGGCACGCTACGAGCCAACACCTAACAATGGACAAGTGTAACCAATGAAAGGGACTACAGTATAGTGACACAAGTAATAACTATCGAATCTACGGGTCTCTAGAGTAACTATTACTCAACTTCAGTTCATTATCTAGCAAACTAGATTAAAGATTGATTTACTAAACTACTCTACTAACTACTCTACTAATTACAAGTTGGGAAATCACTTAGGTATGATTCCTCCTAGCTCCTCAATTAGGTCCAAGTTGCAATTACCTTTGGTTGATCTACTGTTGATTAAACTGCGGAAGATCTTAAATTAGCTTGGAATCTCTTAAGCTGACCAAGCCCTCTTAGACCGAATACCTGGCAGGCGACTAGCCTTCACCAGGATAGACTGCTAAGGCGATTCACACAGATCTCTACTACTGGAATGAATTCCAATACAAAGCAGTGAATTGATTGACTCTCGCACAACCAATTCACCACTATCAATCAAAGAAGCTCTCTTAACCTAATCAGATTCTATATATCATAGGTTAAAGCTGAAATCAAGAGAAGATGATCAGGCTTCAATTGGCTCAATAAATAATGCCGCAATCGATTATAATCAAACAATATAGCATCCAAAACTTCATATAAGAAAGATCCTAACACATGGAACTAGGGTTTCTCAAAACCTAAGTGAAGGGAGGTTACTCCATAGAGAAGAGAGAGACTGTAGAAATCTGATCTAGATCTTCAATCTCCATCTCCAAGCTTGATTCCCGAGCTTCAATGGCAAAGAAATCCTCCAAAATAGCTCCAAGAATGTTCCCAAGTCGCTCTCTCTCTCTCTAGGGTTCATCCCTTGGGTGTTTGGGAACCAAAACCCAGCTCCCCCTCTCTTTTGGCTTGAATATGCCTCAAAAACCCGATTCTGGGCAAAACACGGTCGAGGACATGGCCGTGTTTTACTTTTGCGCGCCCGTATTTTGCCCCCAGCAGCCCTCACGACACGCCCTCGGCAGTAAAAACACTAGCGGGGCCCAGATAAAACACGGTCGTGTTTTTAGGGTAGTCTGCCCGTGTTTTTACTGCCGAACCTATTCCCCTATATTCAATGCTTCGTTTCTCCCTCGTCCGGATTCCGAATCAGTCGCTGTTTGATCACAGACGCTCGTAGTCTCGTCCTCTTTCTTTTCATGACAAGCTTGCATGATTATTTGTCCATAAATGAGGTATAAATCCATTCTTCTTCAGGTCATGCCCGAGTTTCTTCCCGAATCGCCAATTGATATTCGATTGACTTGAAACTTGCGCCTATGCTTCCCTTTACTCACTAGGACCTGAAATGTGACAAAGGAACACAACCTAGCATAAAATAGGCCAAAGAAGAGATAATGCAAGCTTAAACGATCAAGAAGTAGAGGGAAAAACATGTGCAAATATCGAGTCATCAACGAACATATGAACGATTGACAATATTTGTTCAAGAGTGTTTTGGGGTTGTTCGTGCTAAACAAGCCAGACGATGGTGTTGCGGAGGATGGGAAACCATCATTGAAGAAGAACCAAGTATTGATAACTTGGTTCATAGTTAGTAAATACTACGTTTAATACACGTATATGTACATGTACATACTTTATCGGTTTAAAACTTCTGTATCCGTATTATTGTCAAGTCGTTTCATTTTTGTCCATTCATTTGATGACTCTAGTATTAAACACGTATAAAACCCGTATAACACATTTAATATCCATATTTAATGAATTAAATTATTAACTTCACTATTATTTATTAATTTATTTTTAAAATAAATAATTTTATTAATTTATGACTATTAACGTACTATTAAACGTAACATTAGAATAGAGACGAAGTAAAATACATGTACGTATTTTATACGTAACTTTTCCGTACCGTATTTTACTAACTATTGATAGTGGAGATCAAGAGGAAGCACAACCCAGAGGAGCATGGAAACCCCCTCACCAAGGAAAGTGATGAGAGGGACAAGGAGATTTACGTGCGTGTCTACCCCATCGACATGATAGGAGGAGTGTTCTTCTCCAAAAAGTTGAACTACTTGTTTAGCCGCGCATGGCTGAAGATCCTCCTTGGTCCTTGGGAGGATATGGGGAACTTGAGTTGGGCATCTACTTGCCTCAATGCTACTAGAAAAGAGGTGAAAGAGATTGGAGGGGCGATGTTCATCGTCCAAATGTGGGCTTGGGACTATTTGCCATACCTAAAGGCCTACTCTTGCCTCGGAGACAAATGAGGTCCCAACCATCCACTACGAGATGAAGCTTATGGTTGTAGGTAAACTTCTCAATCCCACACATACCAATTGCTTTTTTTTTTGTTGCACTTCAAAAGTTGATAGTTAGTTAAATAGTTGGTTAGTTATAACATTTGATGATTGTCTACTATGAATAAGGTGGATTGGAGCCACAACATGCAACAACCAGCCCGAGCACACCTTGCCAGAGTATCATAGGAGGTTTGATAGACTTTGGGAAGCAAAGGTAACCATCATAATAAATCTTCTTCCTTTGCTATTTCGGACGTGTAATCTAGATTTTGTAGTACTTATTTAAAGGCATCTCTTTTGTAGCTTTTATTCGATTCGTACCCTTCCAACGTGGTGGAGTGGCACGTGAGACAATTATCTGTTCATCCCCAACAATGGTGCAAGATAGTCCCACTCATTTGCCACCATCTTGTGGAGTGGCACATGCCCGATCGAGTCTTATAACAATATGGCCGTGAGCAATGCTTACCCTCAGATCCACCTGATAGCCAGAAGGATTTTCACGAAAGAGATGGTCGCCAAGGTCCTCGTGATTGGCCCATTAAGTTGGCACCATACATTGAGTTGTGGAATAGACAAGATGAAGACATCGTCACTCCTCGAGCGGTGGATGCAATGGGTTATAATGACCCTTACATGGACCAACACCGTGCACAATCGGGTAGGTACATTTGTACATGACTCTGGATGGTGCATTAGTAAGCCATTTTCCGTTTATTCAATTCAATTTCATTACTTTTATGGACGCATAAGTTGTTATGCATTTCATTACTTTTAATTGCCTAAATTGGTAAATTGGTGCGGTTTAGGTCAATGGGGTCGAGCATATACACGCTCTAGCCCGTAGTGGCGAGACTTTGGGCGAAGAGAGGTGTCGATCCTAAGGAAGATCACCAATAGTCTCCTTAATTGTGTTAGATCGTGTGGGCAGGATCATCATAGATACCCGCTGATGCCCACACCGCCTACTGCGAGGGTATCTATTGATGTCCCTAACCTCCATTGTCATACCAAAGAAGGCCTAACAAAAGTACTAGGGAAAGGCCTCATGTGCCCGAGGTGCGGACGATTGAGGCGTGGTGCGTGCCTCACCCTTTGGAGTTGCACAACAATCCCCGCCCGAGTACCCCACATGACGCCACATCCTCGAGTACTTGGAACGAAGCCACCTCCTCGAGTGCCCACTAAGTCTTCATGCCTTTTAATCACACTTCTTAAACCTAGTGGTTGGATTCCATGTTGGCACCTCTGGCGGCTCCATGCCGGTATCAACATACCAATTTTCATCTAGAATATCCATGTAGTACGGGATAGGCACACCGTCACGGGACACCTCCTCATCATCTAAGTCTGAATCTGGTCCTGAATCATCAACACATTCAAAAGGGTCGAAGCTGTCTGCACTGAAGTTGTCTTCCTCTTCTTCATCTTCATGGTCACTAACTACAGCTGGCAGCGCATCTTCCATCTCATCTAGATCATGAAAGGCACCATCATCAGCTCCGTAATGGTAGTTGTGATAACTACCTCTACCTTCATGGAAGTTGTACTCAGATTGGTACTAGTAGTCTTCTTGTTGATTGTCATGGTATCGTTGGGATTATTGTTCGTATGATTAGAATGATTGATGATGATGAACTCCAACTCCTTCTTGGTATTAATGGTAGGATTGATGATTGTGGTAACTTTGGTAGGGATGATGCTCATATCCTCCACCCCACCGTGGATACCATATGTTTGGCCATCTCCGGGTTGACCTCCACCCAGGGGCGGACCTGTTCAGTGCCAAGGGTAGTCAGTTGACAAACCTTGGCCAAAAAATTGGAACAAATTAGCATATTAAAATTTATATGGTTGTTAGTAGGATTTGAACCCTTGACAATTTGACAACCCTTACACCTAATAGAAGTTCCGTTGAATCATTATCCAATTGTTGTTATAGATATTCCAAAGCAAATATATTATGATCCAAATTAATTCTCGTCTAATCTGCCGAATCCAAGTCCCATTAAGATTTGATTAATTCTCCTTCTCTTTTTTTGGGAATGAGAACTCTACCCCCAGTAAAAAGACTACTCTCATAACATAAGTGATGAATATATTATAGAAATTTTTCAGAATATGAAAACACGTCGTGGTGCACTATGATATACGATGAATTGATGTACTTTATGAATTAAAATTTTAAATCTAATTTATTTTTAATTTATTTTTGTGAATACTCTTGACAAAATTTCTGGTTCCGCCACTACCTCCACCGCGTTCAACCTCCTCGGTGTTAACAAACATCTATGCTTTGCAAATGTTATTCACATTAAACAATTCGAGAATGGCATCAACTTCCTTCTGAATGGTTATGATCAATTCCTCATACCATAATGACTCGTCTTCTCTGTTTGGATACCGACACACCATACGATCAACTCTCCTCGTCCCATCCATGCAATTAACCGTTGAACACATTTGACAGAGCTCTTCAAGGTTCGGTCTCGTAGAGACTTTCACTTTCTGAAAATCACCACCGACGTAACGTACCCCCTTTCCAGTCTCTTACGTGTAACCATTCCACCGTAACCCAAACGTGAACTTTCAAAAGGACATTTGCAATAAAGCCGTAACTAAATTAATACCATAAATTTGTGAAACACATACACATGAATAATTTTTGAATGATAAGCATTGAAAAATCACAAATCACAATAAAAATTAATACAAAACAGACTTACGAAGTAAGATTAATCGCAAAAAACTCAAAAAAAGTAAGGAGCAAAACAAAATTTTATAGAAGAATGAGAAGAAGTACCAAAGAGTTGGGGATCCGGGACGGTCTTTTATAGGCAAAATGTTAGTGAAAACCGTTGGGGGATGTGGCAATTTTCACCAAACATGCAAACCCTACATCTGCAACCCTCTGCATGCTGACAGGTTGGCTATCGGGGGAATAAGGACGACACATAAACCGCCACTGGCCCCTGCGTTTTATGTGTCGGCAACTAGAACCGTTGGGGCCTGTGGCGGTTCTTCTTGCCGTCATAAAATCGCCAGGGCTTGCAGCGGTTTGTTCTAGGTCAGCCAAGAAACCGCTTGTGAGACATGCGGTTTGTAGGAAAAATTAGAACCGCAACCACCCCATGCGGTCCTTTTATAAATCGCTGGGGTAGGTGGCGGTCTATGTGAAAGGGTGGTAAGAGTGGAATTTTTTTTATAAGAGTGGTATTTTTTGAATTATTTAGTTTTAGGGTGGTATTTTGAAAAAAGTCCAAAAATTAAAACAAAAAAAGAGAAAGGAAAAATAATGGTAGTATGCTGTTGTGGTCTCGTGGACTTGTGTTACGTAAGCTAAAGAGCTTGTTCCCATTCCCTCCAAAGAAAGAGATGGCTGCTCGCTGCTTCTGGACCAGCGGCAGCTGTTCCGGCAGCAACGCAAGCCAACGCTGCCGTTCGCCAGCGATTCCGGAGTTTCATACCCAAACTCTATATCCGTCCTCTTCTTCTTCTTCTTATCATCATCTTCCTATTATAACGAGTGATTCTTCTTCTCGTTTCACTGGAGGCTGCACAAACCCCATCCCATACTCATACCCACACCTTCGCCGCCCCCGCCGCCTGTTCGCTCAGCTGCCGCCGCAATCTGACCCGCCTCCCAATAAGGAGCCGCTGACACTCGAAGGTGATTCGAATCAATCCCTCCACGCTTTTGCATATTTCTGCTTCACTTCCTTCCCGGCGCCTTTTATCAAACAGTTGGTGGGTGGGTTCTTTTGATTCTACGGTCAATTGCTACCCATAATGGAGTCGACTCTAACACACCTGTGCTCCGTTGGAGAGTGTATATCAAGTCAATTTTGCTGGTTGTTGATATATAAAGTACGCTCTTAGCTTGTAAATTGAGTATTGACATGGCGAGTGGTCTCTTCTTGTTGTGGTGCAGGTTTAGTGGAGGGTATATCTGGATTCCAAGAAAGGGTTCGGATATTCTTTGCGGTATTTGTATGGATGTCTCTATTCTTCTGGTACTCAGCTTGGGATGGCAGGAATAAAGGCGGCGGTGGCGGCGGAGGTATTATGCCCAACAAAAGATCCCGATCTCCGTTCAGAAGATGAACTCGGAACCAACTTATCAAAGCATTCGATTTTGTTTACAGCTTGTGTATAAGTGTATTAGTTGTAAAGGAATAATATGTAGGCGACATTTGCTACTTTAAAGGATTGTAAATTATACTACAGAGATCAGATATTTTTGCACCGGCAAAATTGATGTCTGGTCTGAATGAAAGCAAGAATAATATGGACCAGCACATGAACCAGGAGTCGGATACTTTGTTCCTCTCAACAGGGTTTCGAAAGCATTTCACTCGCTTTCAGGTGAATGTCGATGGGATTGGACCTACTTGTGAACGCCTTTCGCTCGCTTTCAGCCATCTTATCCACATAAAGCGTTCCATCCAGATGATCACATTCGTGCTGTGCTGTAAGATACGAGCCTGCCACCCAGAGGCTTCAACCTTGATGGGTGCACCATCACGGCTCAACCCTGTAACCTCGACTTCCAGACTACGCTCTACCAAAGCCCTGAATCCATCTATCACAATCAACGGTAATAGAAACATCGAGGGGAGAACATCCACGAAGAAAATGATAGCTGCAGAATAAGGATAGTAGATTCTGGGTTTAAGCAGCTTATTCTAGTTATCCCGAACTATCATTTCAAATAAACACAAACCAGAAGAGCAAATCAAAGAGGGAGATTGAATGAACGCAGCCATATTACAGAAAAATGAGTCAAATATCTTCCATATAACTCAAGCAATCAAAACACAGGAAAATCTCGCCACGGCATTGGAAGCACCATCTTTGTCAAACTTCAGTAGTAACCCAGATAAAGGAAACCAAAGGCTTAAGAAGGGATCTTCCCTTCCTATCCAAGTGCTACTGAGGAGGTCGGAAAACTACAACGAAGGAACAATGATGCTGCCAAGGTTTACTGGACTTCCAGCTCAATTCAGTCAAATAGAAGTGCGAAATCCAGGAAACGGATAAATGTAGGAGCCATTACGATCTGTCAAATACTCCCATTGGATTCAACCCTCAAGGAAAAATACAAATTCCCTACGTTGTGGCCATAGCTAAAAAAATCAACATACAAGAACTAATAAGCAGATGAAAGTAAAAGAGCTAATCAGCTGAATTCTCTTCTTGATAATCACAGCAACAAGTGAAATGCAGCTAAACCTAGGAATATCTACAACTAGGGGCTTTACTAAAATTGCGGTTCCCCCAAGAACTCAAAATCATGGATGGATAAAGCACAAACGAAGAAACCTGACCCTCAGCGGGATTCCAATCTGGGGAGCAGCCAGCTCAACTCCTGGAGCTAACCTCATAACCTTAACCATGTCATCAATGATCTTCTGTATCCTTTCCGAACTGATTTCCCCTGGGTCAGCTACACGAGCTGGTTCGTGCAACACTGGGTCACTAGCTTTTACTATCTCTGGCAAGGCCGGTTTAAAGTGCAAATCAACCTGGTCATATGAGGTTTCTTTATAATGATACCTTAGAAATCTTTTTGCCAACAACTACTCCAATGACAATGGCAAACAGAGATATGAGAGCTCCTTGTCTTGAGAGCCAGAACTCGGTCCAAGTCAATGGCCTCGTGACTTGAACTAGAACCATCCTAAGATTTTCTTCTAGATCCTCTAATGAACCAGTGTTGTCAATCACAATGTCCGCCCTCGACCGTTTCTGATCCAAGGACATTTGAGCATTTATCCTATTTAGAGCATCCTCCTCGTTACTGCTATCTCTTGCCATAAGCCGTTGTAACTGCGTCTCCGGATCCACCCATACGACAACAGTGGGCTCTGTCCATCTATCCATCTTCGCCTCAAATAACAGAGGAACATCAAGAACAATAACCTTGTTACCTTTTAGCCATAGCTTGAGAACTTCATAAAATATCCCAGAGGATATGTAGGGAGCCAATAACCTGCAAGGAAGCCAACATTGAAAGAACCCGGTGAAGATACAAAACCTTTCAACAATATTAAGCAAAGATATGGGGGAAGAAGTAACAGAAAATCTACACAGCATGGTTTATCAAGACCAAGTAATTTTCAGATGATGGACGGAAACTTGGAGTGGGTGATTCATAATGAACCTGTTAAGAAGCTGGCGCTTTCCAGGATCCGAGAAAACAATGTGGCCAAGCTTAGCCCTATCAACTTCTCCATTGGGTAGCAAAATATCTTCTCCAAATGCATCAACAACTCTTTTGTGGCCTCCGGTGCCCTTCTTCAGAACATCCTGTATATTATATATACAAAAACCAGTCGGAAGATCATATCTTTCGTATATACCAAAACCGGAAGATAGGTGTTACAGGTGGAGAGCACTTGCTAGTTGAATATGCACAAGCTACCACTAGGTAAGCTGTAAGCACATTGATCAATGGCAAGAACTTACCACCAAGAACCACCTACATTATCAAAGAGAAATTTAGCAAACAATCAAACCATCATCCCGTGAAATGAAAGTTCCTATGGGTATTCGGATAAACCATCTAGCACTATAACTTGTATGCAGTTAATCAGCCAAGATCATCTCTGCACTACATGAACTAGGACGCCAGAGGTCGAAATTGAGAGACAAATCGAAGTGCTAATTTAACCCGGTCGTCCAAATTCAGGCAAGCTAATAGCAGAAACCAAATGTAACCTAATTCTCGTTACAATGCATATTAGTATTGGACTGGTTCTGGTACGGGAAGCAAGCGCCGAGCCGTGTCAAGTTGAGTAGAGATGAGAGGTAAGATCGAACAGTTGAATGAGCGTGAGAGTGGGGAGAAGCAAGATCGCCGCCGGGACAGTGCTATTGATGATTACGGATATAAAGAGGAGAGAGGCTGGAGTACTCACCCGAGCAACGACGTCGGCGTCGACGACGGGAACACCATGGGACTTGAAAAGATGGGAGACGGTGCTCTTCCCGGACGAGATTCCTCCGGTTAATCCTACTATTCTCATTCCTCCACTTCAGGAGCTCGCTGGTATTGTACTGGATCGGCTTTAGGTGGTCACCCAATTCGTTCCCGCTCCAGAGCCCGGATTTCCCAAAATTCGTCGAGGGTTCACGAATTTGGAGCGCGGTTTTACCAGTACGACAGCAAAACAAGAAATCAAAACAGCCTCTATAAAGCAAAACTAGATGTAGTGTCAATATATTTTATCAAGGTTGTCAATCCACGGTTGACCCAGACCCGATTGAGCTAGTAGGTCAAGAGTTAACGGGTTACCCTTTTTAGTCCGGAAATATGATAAGAGTCATTATATTGTACTTATTCTAATAAATTATATCAAATCTCCTCTAACATACGAGTAATAACATATAACACCAAAGTACATGTCGTAATTAGATCCAACATATAGTGAAAATTCACACACTTATATAACAACAATATTCAAATGTTCAACTAAAGATTCCAAAGATTGAGTTAGGCGAAAAGAAAAGTCGAAAAATAGGTGTATTTCTCAACCCAAAGAAAAAAATGACACAATATGAGCCAAGCCGCTCGCGATCAACTCGACGTTCGAATCGGAAAAAACTCGTTCGATACTTGACTCGTTGTTTAACAAGCCAGCTCGCGAGCCGGCTCGTTAGTAAACGAGCCAAGCTTGAGCTAGGCTATGCTCGGCTTGATAAGCTCGTGAGCTAGCTTGACTCAATGGCTTGTTGAGCTAAGCTCGCGAGCTGGCTTGTTTAAAGCTTGTGGAAGGATTAATTATTCTTCTAAACATGAAAATTATCTTGTTAATAAGGATGTGTATAGAAGTTAGATGTTATTTTTAGTTTCTAGTGTTCTTTTTATCATTTTTAATTTCTAATGTTCTTATTACACATTTTTCAGCAAGAATGGTTTCAAATCGAGCTTATCTTGAGTCGAGCTTGTACTCAGCTTGACAAGCTGTGTTAATGAGCATTTATCGAGCTCTATCAAGTCGAGCTCGAGCTGAATTATTTTTAATCGAGTCGAGCTTGAGCTGGATGATCAAAATTCGAGTTTGAGCTAAAAAATTTATAAATGAGCCGAGCTCAAGCTAAGCAAAAACTCGACTTGACTCGGCTCGTTTGCAACCCTACTTCCAACCAGATACCTTGTAGCGGTCGATCTGGCGGGTGCATGTGACCTATTTTTCTCACCGGGTCAAAGTCAAAGTGGGTCAACCCGCAGGTTGACAACCTTGGATTTTATGTTGAAAATACGGTTAATCACCGTTCAATCATATTATATCTCTAAAAATTATTTATTAATTTAGACTAAGATATAAGGTTTTTCTTATCGAACCATCGATACAGTATGTTTTTATAAATACTAATTTTAACATGTGTTTATATATATATGGTGGCGTATTCTGTGCACCCACTTTTTCGGTGCACTCAGTGCACCCGCCTCATAATTGTCATTCTGACCATGCGATTCATGTCAAAACGGTATCAATTGTTGCTTATGATATTATGAACAAGAAGCACATGAATTTGAAAAAAAATTCATTCAAAATTTACTTTAATTTGAAGGATTTAGGATTTAGGGATTTAGGGTTAGGGTTTAGGTTTACAATTTGGGATTTTGGGTTGGGATTCAAAATTGAAGGTTAAGGGGTTAGGGTAATGGATTGATTTGTTATGATTCTATGTCATATCATTATATTATATTGAGAGTACTAATTAAAGTTCAAAATTTGATGTAATATGGACGTTTTTAGAGTTGGGTGCACTGAGTGCACCCAAAAAAGTGAGTACACCGAAGTAGCCACCTATATATATATATATATAATTTATCCAATTTTCAACATGTCACCCACTAAACTATATGGCAAATTATACATTCCTTCCATTCCACGTTTGGTGATCTAAATCTTGTGTAAGATGATAAAGAAAATTAATTGATCCCGTTTTTGTTTATGTTTTTTTTTAACGGGATACATTAAGTATGCAAAAGGGGAAAGTCTAATGAAAATGTTACAAATCAAACAAAAGATAACATAGGCCAATAAGCCAAGCGTAAAGAATGGAGCCCAAACAACAACCTGAAAACCCAATAGGGTCGAGACACAAGCTCGATATGAACTCAGCTCTCGACTCTAGCTACCGCTTGTTTGCCCTTGGCTCCTCACCTCCATTGCAAGCAATAGCAACCCTCCTCCAACCAGACCTAAGAAAGACAAGTAACAAGAAGAAAAGCTTGGAGCCCAACAACCTGGTGGAAGGCAGCAGAAGCAGCACGTTACGCCTCCACCAACACCGCGTCGGACCCAACTCCGTCTGCTCCCCGTCGCCAAACACAAACGCGAGAAACTCGATCAAAAGGGTGATCGGTGACGAGACCACAAGGGTAACCTTCACTTTTCAAGATCATCACTCCAAGTCTAAGCACGATGGCCACATTTCCGAATCACCGAGACCAGACCAGACCAGATGCCAAAATCTCAACCCAACAAAGGGGGCAGAAGATCCACAAAAGGGAAGAGATCTGCAATTGATCCAGTTATATTGAACACTCGCCTACTAGCATTAGCAAAGATTGTAAATCACATCGGAGGTTGCACCAAAAAATCAATAGTAGAATTTATGCTAAAAATATGGTTTAACTATTTCATACTTTTAAATATCACTTACAATTTTTAACTCTGATAGGAAATATTCTCGATCGGACCGTCGATACAATTTTACAAACACTAAACGATCCGGTTTTCCAACCGCTGAGAATTAACCTTGGGGTACATATCATAGCAAAATATCGGGCCTGAATAGAGAACCGTGGATCAATTATACTAATTCAACCGTAAGCAGGTGAGTGCCCAATAATCACCCCTATCTGGAAAATTGGGACTATCAGAAAAGGAAAAAAGAAACAAATGTAGACTAAATTTGTTTCCTCCTACCTACTTCAAGCACCCAATAAATACTTATTCAAGAAAAAAAAAAACTTATTCAATCAAGAAATTAGCCAAAAGAATAAGAACCCAACTAAGAAAGAAAACTATACATGCCGGGCCATAAAAAAAGAAAAAAGAGGCAGAAATTTGTCCTACTAATAAACTAAAACCTACTACTTCTGCTGACCCTCACCCTCCATATCCCGCACACTGTCCACTATATGCCGGATTTTGTTTGATAGACACTCGTTGTGCTCTTCGATCTGTTCGAAAATCAGTTCCAGATGTCTTTTGTAGGTCGCGGCTCTTTTCTTCTCCACGGCCAACTGCTGGGACAACTCCTGGATTTTATCATGTTCATTCTGCAACACAAAAAAATGCAGTTGACAAAATACAGTCAACGGATATCAATATGGCAGCTTGCTGGTGCTGAAATGACCAACTCTGACTAGTTCAAGTGCTGCATACAAAGACCTGATGCCAAAGTGACTAACTCTTCCTCAGTTTGATACTGAAGCCCTAACTTGGAATTCCCTAATTATGAGTTGCGCTAAATTGGTTTCAGCAGTCAACCTCTCCTTCACGGAATAGTAAATTTTCTATCAGAAATATAGGTGATTCATAATTCAGTTATGAAGAGTGACAGAAGTTTATTAGCAAGGAATTTCTAGGGACCCAATTACTAGAGATGGTATCCAAAATCTCTGATTCTACTTCCATCTGCTAAGTTCAACAATTAAACTCGTGTCGAATCATAAGATCCCACGGCTTGCACAACCGCAACTACCATGATTTCAGCTCTCTAAAAATGTCAGGGAGGAAAGATTGGAAAGCAGTAATTCTAAGATGTCAGGGAAGAAAGAACTAACCGGATACTGATCGTAAATGCAATCTCTTCGGCCCCTGCCAGGCGTCAATGGATGAGTATGCTCCTTCACAAACTTCGTAACCATCCACTTGCCAGAATTTACTCTCCTTACCAACATCATCGCCCTGCAACCAACCCTAGTCTCCACTCTCTGTCTAACAATTTTTTCTCGCTTGTCTGGCATTCTAAAACCCTCTTTATTACAAACAAGCGCCCGACCAATGGCAGAACCATCCCTCCTAGAGCGAGACAGCTTGCTCACTCGGATGATGAATCCCACTTGTGTTGCATAAGAATTATAAAATGCATGTGCAGCTGCTTCAGAGTCGAATTCCTGTCCCACATATGGCTCATCAGCAGTATCTGCATCTGAAACTGCAAATCCATCTTGGAGCTCATCAGGAGACTCTTGATCCAATTTCTTGCACTGGTCCTGCTGAAATTCCCCATTTATAATGTTGTTAACACCAATTTCACTTTGATCACCTACTTCTTGACTATCATCATCTAGTTCAATATTTCTTTCTATATCTCCATTGACATCATCATCATCAACCCCAAACTCCACTGCAACAAGAAGCAGTTGTTATAAGGATGGCTGTAGCTACATAATAGAGTTATAGCGACACTAGTATAGATCTAATTGAGATCCCAAATAATAAACAGGAGTACAATTTTATGGAGCACGGGAAAAGAACAATTATTATCACATCAATGAGATGAAAAAGAGGGGATGCAACCAAATCCAAAGTTTTCAAATAAGCAAGCAAGAATCGCAAGTGCTGAATACACCAGCTAAAAAAAAGGGTTGCCTCATATAATATGGACAAGGGGCAGCAGGCAACCTTATGTCAGTTGGGAGTGATCACGGACCACATTTATAAGAAGACCTGTTAAACTATCCTTTATTCAATTGAAGCCGTGAAGTAAAATAATAGCCTTACAAAATGGAGAGGTGGAGACCCTCTACATGATTTTTGCATGCACAAAAAGAGAACAGAAACACAATAATGAGAGAATATGTGCTGATTTCCCTGACTTTCAATTGTAGCTTCTGAACATAACCCAAAAACAAACAATATAATGCAACATTAATTTATAAACAGTCTACTTACTCAACTTGATAAACTCGCCGAAGCTTTAGTCGAGAGTCACCACAGGAACCTGAAAGTCAAACTGATATGGAGACACATCAGCACAGAACTGAGAATGTAGTAACTAACATCCCATATCACTCTAGTTTGAGCCCTTAATCTGAAAATTCAAATGCATTTATTGCTAGGAAGATTGTTGATCTGATTTCACATATGCATCCTCTGTGGAGCAATAACCAGAAAACGCCAGACATGTGTTACCAATTGATTTTATTGCAACAAAGATGTCTTCTGCACTGCAAACTTTGTAACAAAATTTCCTAATACTAATATACCAGAGAACACACTTGAGAATATGTTCCAGTAATTTTGCTTGTGAATCATGGTTTTAAATAAAGAGTGAATTAACCATCTATTGTGGCTTCATGGCTTCACCTAATGTACATGCTACATGGCACCCAAGAAATATCTTAGCATGGAGTGAACTGTGAGGAGTATGCCAGAAGTAGAATTACCTAGTAAACTATAAGGATGTCCAACAGTATGCAAGAAGTAGGGTTACCTAGTAAATTATGAGAATTGTATGTGCGTAAATATAATATAGTAAATTGAAATGCCAACCACAAATTAGAAAAGCAGGACAATAACATGCAGAAAAACTGGACAAGGAAAGGATGGATTAGAAGCCACAAAAGAGATCAACCCTAAAACTCATGAATTGCCAAATCTTCTGTCGATTTAGGGAGAATTCGCCAATGCAATGTTAATAAAAAAACCACGAAACTCAAAGTAATGAACTTGCCACCAAGGAAGGTAAAAGACACAAAGCAGCAAGCAGAGGATTATATTAGTAATGTTAAACCCTACCAGCAAACAGACATATACTCAATCTAATATACATTAGCACCAACCGTGTAGCCAAGCAAGCTACCAACTGATTTGCCCTTTATCAAAGTAGATTCCAATAGCAGATTAAGTTCAAAACCACAAATCATCCGAAAGCTATAAAATCTACCCTTTACATTTGTATGAAATCAATCAAACAATTATTAGTTCAGATGAGACTCAAAGTGCGCTTGAACAAATGAACTCCACTAAAAACTGAAAGGAGCTCCAATTTCACCAACTCTAACCTTACAACGGAGAAAACCCGCTGAAAACAGAAGGATGAAGTCAAGACGTCAGAAAAAGAAAATACCCGAATAGTGAGAAGGTGGATTGAGGAAGACACGAACAAACCCCTGAGAGCTTCTACTCCCCTCTCTTTGCTGCTTGACCCATTTACTGATTTTTCCGAGCAAGGCTCCGCCTATCACCTGCTAATTCGATCGCGAGTGGACGTGCAGCAAGTGTCCAATTCAACTACTTCAATCGTTCCAAAGGTCTCTATTTTTCCTACTCTTTCTATTCGCCCTGTCGATAAGCCAAAGCCCTGGGCGCCACACCAGCAGCCGAAACCGAGGTGGTGGAATTCAGGCGGCGGCAGGTGAAGGCAGACGGAGCAAGACTCCGATCTCTGTGGCGTTCGATGAAAGAATTACCAATATGCTTCCTTCTTTTTCAGCTCCAATATATCTGCTCCCTCCGACTAATCGACTGGCAGCGCCGGTAGCGAGATGCCGTTACAGCTCTGTTTCTTCCCCGTCTATCTCCTCTTTCCTTCATTTGTTTTCCCCTTCTTTCCCCGGTTCTTTAAATAGGTTTAAAAGGGTCAACGAGCCCGAAACGCAAACTTGCTATGGTTTGGTTTTGGTGATAGTTAAATAGATGTATTGTCATTAATATATGCATAATAATATACATGTATATTAGCTTATAAACCAGCCCGTTGGCCGAAATGTTCATATTTTAATATTTATTTATTTTTGTTATGTTTAAGTCTATTAATTCGTTTAAGTTTATTGATAATCATTCAATCGAGATGCTATATAAAGAATGGATATATACGTCGAACATTCAGGAAAATACCCTTCTCATTTAAGACTATAAAAATGTGTCATTAATCCAATTTTCATAATGATAATTGAGCCCACATTAAAATGATATTGGTTAATAGATTGCCGAGAAATATATAATATAAAAGCTCATTGGAATTTCCACACGATCCATAGATAGTTTGAAACTGAAATGAAACCTCACAATCCCACACAAATGGTTCAAACCTCTCCTCTATGAATAACAATAACACCTAAAGATCCAATAGTTTCCACTCTCCGTTGTACAACCAACTTTTTATCCCCTCCATCTTCAATCTCTCGACGTATATGTTTTAAACCAAAATTCAATTTCTAATCCTCCTTGTGCAACTCCATTTATGCTACTTTGATGGACCTTCTCTCCATGAACTTGAATTTCTCTTTCAATTGAGTTTCTTGTCAGCTTGATCTCCAACTCCTCAATCATCTTTCTTGTATTTGGCCAACTCATCTTCCTCGGGGCACTTTTAATAAGCTCGTAAAACCAACACTCATCTTCAATTCCTTCAATATGCTATTCTCCTCGTTCTCTGCCTTCACATGATCTAGTTCACTTCCATACCCTTCAATACCCTCTCCATTTTCATTAATATTCTGATCATCTACCACTTCTCTCTCTCTCTTCAACTGCTCCGATTTTGCCTCTATGTCTTTCAATACCCTCCTTGGTTCAATCACTACCCTGACCAACTGCCTCTTCACTGTCTTTACTTGCTGCAAACTACTTCCATGACTTTTTATACACCTTCCTCAAAATCACAATCAACTAACCAATATCAATCCATGGCCTTGGATCGGTTTTAAACTCTCTATGAACATCTCAATACCACAAAGTCTAAATCTAAATATTCTTTCAGTTAATCATGAACTTGAGTTTATCAAAATCTAATCCACTCCTTTTAAGTTGGAATTCCCATCCCCCAAGCTCATTTTTGGTTCATTTGATCCCACATAACCATGATATTATACCTCTAACTAAATTAAATCAAAGCATTTTACGAAAAGAAACCGAACCATGAACTTTGCCTGCTACTAAATCCAAACACAATTTCTTCCTCTCACCACTTCCCTTCCCAAACCCAATATTAACTTGTACTCCAAGTTCACAGTTCACACCCCCAACTCCTAGTGTGTCGCGTGAAAGCATAATTTTAGCAATCATTATACTTGCAATTAGATTAATGGACAGCAGAAAGCGCCAAAATTCCACCAGACGATGAGTTTTCTTCACTTTGAGTTTTGTCATAAAACTGCTGCCCCGATATGTTTATCAGTTTGGAGGCCATATGATGAGCAATACCGAATCAGTTACAGAGAAGTTACCGGTCACAGTAATGACATTATGAAACATGTGTTAACAAACGCGAATATGAGTTGCTTTTATGGATTGACATTAGAATGATGGGATTGGTCAATGAGATCGTCCTTAGTTAAGCGACATGTAAATGGGTTCATTTGGTATGGACCTTGTTATAAGAACCGAACCAGATCAACGGCCGGGGCAGTAGAACCGTCAAACCAGTTACGATAGCGGCCCGATTCATTATTTGAACGGTTATTGATGGACCAAACGGTTTTTCACGGTTCAACATAAAATCAGATAAACCGACACGGTTTAGCTGGTCCATTGGTTCACTATTTTAAAAAAAAAAATATTTTAACATAAACTAAGACCATCAAATCATAATTATTAATTTTATGTATGCTTCCTCAACCTTATTATCGATTTTACATTGTCTACTACCAACTAGAACCGTAATTTTTAATTTGAATTAAAAAATATGGTTTCTTTTGTGAGATGGCTGGAATGATTTATTAGATATTTTCGTGATGATATGAATTTGAACTTGTTTATGGTCAATGATAATTTCATTCTTAAATTAGTGTAATATACAAGTCTTATATGTTATATATCATTAACGGTTCTATCAACGGTTCACTAACGGTTTGTAACGGTTAACCGGTAAACCCTTAAACTACTAATTTTTCCGGTTCAGCCTCTGGTCCGGTTCTGAAAACAGAGGGTATGGATGACACAAACCGTTAAAATTCTAAATTATCTGGGTGAGTTTGTATTTAGTGTTTTCAAAATCGTGGTATATGAGTTAGGTGATTAAAATATCTAAACCCAAACGAACCGACCCAAGTACACCCCTAGGAAGAGTTTCAAAACTTAGTATTTAACCGACCAAAAATGTTCAGAGAACCAACCCCCTATAGTTTGCACAAAGATATAATTGCTTCACTATAGTTCTGGAAATTAATGGTAATTTAAGAATTCTATATCGCTTCTACATATTCAATACTATAATTCGATATGAAATATTCGAACCAACAATATTTTGGTTGCAAATTTATGGTTATCGTCTATTTATAAGATAGATAAAAAATTAAGTACTAAACTATAATTAAATTAAAAATATCAAAATCGAAGTATCAAAATACCAAATAAGTACTTACGAAATATTTATTGGGCTAGCTAACTCATCCGGATGTTTACGAAGGAAAATGGTCCACAATAGTTTGGACGAGAGCACATAATTTCGTAAGAATAAGATGTGATGCCTATGTCAAGCACCACTTCGACGACAGAGAGAAGATTTCGCATTCGGTATGTATTCCAAAGGACCAATTGAAGGCCCGCCCGTAGTCATTACCTTAACCGCAAGGAGGGGGATGCCGAAAGTTCTGTGATTTCATATTTTAGCTTCGTATATACTTTTAATTTAAAAAAATACAACAAATCTACATAGTCTGATTGATTTTAAACCTTCACTTTATTTGAAGTGACCATGGTTTAAATCTCAATATGTCTATCTTTTTCTGTAAATAAATAAAAAATACAGATAATTGTGAAGACAAAAATGTTCTTCCTAATTTCCCGCTCATTGTAGGAAATTTGAAAAGGGAGATTAAGTTTCAAATAATTAAATCATATACCCTAAAACTATAGAACTTAAACCCTAATATCACATATACTAAGAACATAATCAATGATTCTGATTCGCCAAGATGTATACATCATACCATATGCACTATATTAGGATTTAGAGAATTATGATATAGGATTTAGTTACGTGATTAATCTATGGTCTAGATAATGTTATTTAACTAAGGAGATGCAATAACCCTCAATCCATCGAGCGTACCATAGAATTTCCAATGTATATACACATACCATTGTTTGTTAAATTTAGCCAATGATAATTGGCTCATTTGTCAATGGTATTTAGTCTTTCAATTCTATGCTTATAATTGTCAACCATTAGGGAAATTGTTAGCCAATGATTTTTGGTCATTCACTTATAGCATTGAAAATGTCTCGTTACAAAATCATAGATCACAAATGTCAAATTTTATGTTTAGAAATAAAATCGTGTATAGCACTTTTGTAAACAATCCTTGTATTCCTACAAACTACAAAGTCATGTAACCTAATAAATGTAAAAGTTGTAAGACATATATAAACTCAAAATGTCCTATTTGATTCTTGGTGAATAATTGTGTGATTAGAGGAACTCACTTAGTTGATTCATAAAACTAGGTATATCATGATGATTCACTTGGTAAATAATTACAATAATTAATTAGTTTGATGATTGATTGTTGCGGTGGATTTCCTATGATTTTAAGATATTTCAGTATTTTTCTCTCTTTAATTCAAAAAATACATAAACATTGTAGCAGTCCAGTTGGTTAGGGATATTGACTATCAATATGAAGGACTCGAGTTAAAGTCATTGCAATGACATTTTTTCTCGTAAGAAGATATTTCAGTTCTAAGTTGAACTTACAAATTACCCCTTGCTACAATTAAGGAGAGTGCAAGGAATTTGAAATGCTCAAAATCTCCTGAAGTACCTCTATATATTATAGAGGGATACGAAAATTTATGTATTGTAGTTTACAACGTTTGGTTTTTGTGATAGTTATTGTGTTATTTAAATAAGTTATATTACTTTTGGATGAAATATCAGTTTTATCTTTTGTTTTTAATATAGAAAAGCAACACACATAAAAAGGTAGGGGCTTAGTTGGAAGAAGAAAAAAAAACACAATAATCTCAACAATCTCACAAAATACTTGAGATTTAACTATCACTCATTTTGAGTGATAGTTTGTGTCAAATCAAGTAAACAATGTTTGTATTGTTTGTGCAGAAAATTCAAAAAAATGATGCATTGTGGACAATGCATGCATTATAAATATCTCAACCAAACAATCACCAAAACCAAAAGACCCATACATCATTTGAAACGCCAGAACGTAGTGATGGCAAACCGGCGCGCATGTATCTCAATAACCATATTTGTCCCACATTAAGGGCGGGTTGGAGCGGGTAATACCGGCGTGAGGTACGAGACAAGTCGACCGTCGATCCATTACCATATGTTATCGTAAAAAATATGAACGGAAAACACTTCATGAATGAAAAATACTAAAATAGTGATAATAAAATATGTAATTACTAATTAGTCTCACTAGTTGAAAGATTAAGTGTAAGAAAATGATATAGAATGGGGCGGGCCGAAGTAGATAGATGGACTCATAGTCCATGTGAGCCCATGAACGTCCCAATGAAGCCCATGCAAAAGGACCCATGAAGTCCACGCAATTCATAAGGAAGATGGGTACTCACGTTGATCATGATTTTGTTTGTTATTTAATTAGAGGCTTG